ACAAAGCAGCCTCTAACCCCTGAGGGGCTCCTGGATGTCACTCCTGTCCTGGAAATGTGTTTGGGATGTCCCCTCCTGCAGGGCTGGGGATGGTCCGTGCAGGTTTGCAAGGGTCAAAAATAGATAGAGAGCGTTAAAAATGTGAGAATTCAGCTGGAAATCACTGCATGTGCTGCTGGGAGCTCGGGGCTGGGAGCCAGCGGGGGAAACTGCTGGAATTGTGGGGAGAATGGGAACGTGGAACCACAGGAGTTTGGGGTGATGGAAATGGGAATATGGAGCCACGGGAGTTTGGGGTGATGGAAATGGGATGGGAATGTGGAACCATGGGAGTTTGGGGTGAATGAGAATGGGAATATGGGACCACGGGAGTTTGGGGTGATGGGAATGGGAATGTGGAACCACGGGAGTTTGGGGTGATGGAAATGGGATGGGAATGTGGGATCACGGGAGTTTGGGATGATGGGAATATGGGACGATGGGAGTTTGGGGTGATGGGAATGGGAATGTGGGACCACTGGAGTTTGGGGTGATGGGAATATGGAACCACTGAAATTTGGGATGATGGGAATGGGATGGTAATATGGAACCATTGGGGCTTGTGATAATGGGAATATGGAACCACTGGAGTTTGCAGTGATGGGAATGGGATGGAATGGGAATATGGAACCATTGGAGTTTGGGGTGATGGGAATAGGATGGGAATAGGAAACCATTGGGGCTCATGGTGATGGGAATGTGGAACCACTGGAGTTTGGGATTATGGGAATGGGAATATGGAACCATTGGAGGTCCTTGTAATGGGAATGGGTGCAGGAATATGGAACCAGTGGAGTCTGGGATGATGGGAATGGGATGGAAATGTGGAACCATTGGAGTCTGGGATGATGGGAATGGGATGGGAATATGGAACCACTGGAGTTTGGGGTGATGGGAATATGGAACCACTGAAATTTGGGATGATGGGAATGGGATGGAATGGGAATATGGAACCACTGGAGTTTGGGGTGATGGGAATATGGAACCACAAGGAAGGTCCAGGGAAACCTTCATCTTACCCACAGTCTCACATTGAGAACTGCTGTTTCCCCTCCCAGCAACAAAAAGTACTTGAGTGCAACTGTGGTGAAAAAAAAAAAAAAAAAAAAAAAAAAAAAAGGGATTTGTCAACCCACCTCCCTCTCCTTTTAGGGGGAAAAAATTACTGGGTAATTAAAATATTAAAATATCAGACTGGGGCCTTGCACTTCCCAAAAGCAGCAGAAGAAAAAACTGCAACTGCTTTTTGGGAAGGATCCGAAAAGTGAGACCAGGGTGCTCTGAGCCCAGCCAAGGTGATTTTATTTCCTGTGGTGTAACCACGTCAAACAGGAGAAAGGAGAAATAAAAAGAGTTTGRGTTTCCTGGCATCACTAACCCCAAACCCAAGGAGTGTTTGTATTGATCGAAGCTGACATGTTTACTTCCCTGGCTCCGAGTTAATCAGATGATTGATGATTAATTTACTTTGTAAATACCTCTGCAAATGGAATCTCTTTAATATCAGTCCTTTTTGTGGCTGAGCAGGTACACAGTGCTTTGGAATGACAATTTGGTCATGGGGTGGACAAAAAAAACCTCTCCTTGTTCCTGTTTTGTCCAGAAAATTTATCTGGGAGCTACTGGGGAATATCCGGGGGGAACAGAGAGGATGAGGGGTCTGGGGCATCTCCCTGATGAGGAGAGGGTGTGGGAGATGGGCCTGGAAAGGGGAAAGCTGAGAGGGAATCCCATCAGACAACACAAATATTCCTCAATCAATATAAATATCCCATCAGTCCATATAAATATCCCTCAGTCCATACAAATATCCCTCATCCATACAAATACCCCTCAATCCACACAAATATCCCATCAGTCCATACAAACATCACATTGATCCATACAAATATCCCTCAATCCACACAAATATCCCTCAATCCACACAAATATCCCTCAATCCACACAAATATCCCTCAATCCACACAAATATCCCATCAATCCATACAAATATCCCTCAATCCATACAAATATTGCTCAACCCACACAAATATCCCATCAATCATTACAAACATCCCCAAGGGATGTCACAGGACAGTGCCACGCTCTGTTCAGTGGTGCCAGGGACAGGGTGAGGAGCAGTGGCCTTCAACTGAAGCACAAGTTCCACCTCAACGTGAGGAAGAACCGCTGTCCATGGAAGGGGCAGAGCCCTGGAACATCTGCCCAGGAAGGGTGTGGAGTCTCCCTCTCTGGAGACATCCCAAAAATCCCAAATTSCAGAATTCCTGTCACCTGCTCCATGGCAGGGGTTGGAATGATGATCTGACAGGTCCCTCCCAGCCCAGCCCGGCCCCACTCACCCGTGCTGTCCTCGTACACCACGGTGACGATTTTCCAGTTATAGTAGAGCACGAGGTCGAGCACGGCCCTGCTGATGGCGGCGTAGTCGGGGTACAGGTTGATGTAGAAGGCGTCCCTGTTGTCCACCGTGGGGTGCTTCCAGCGGGTCTGGATGTGYGGCACCTCCAGGGCGTTGCAGATGGACTGGACAGCGCTGACCGACGAGCTGTGAGCGGGACCGAAGAGAGCGGCCACGCCCAGGGCCAGCTGGTCACAGGCTGGGGGACAGGGGACACGAGGGCT